GGTACTGCAACCTTTTGTTAAACAAACCAAACAGAACTTTAGTGTTTATCTTACTTTGGGTTTTCAGGAGACACAGAACGGTTCTAAACATTTCAAAAGTTCCTAAATGCAACAAAACGCAGCTTCGGTTGCGAGTCCTCAAAATGTGTTTGTGCAAGTGTGAGTTGTTTTTGAGCATTCCAGTTTTTACCAACCAGTAACAAAGTACTTTCTATTAATTGTTGTCCTTTTAGGCACTGAATGCCACCAAGTGATCTAAATAAATCTCGAGCCTAGGTTAGTGGAAGCCAACATTTGCAGCAGCCATTGATGAGTTGTCAGAACATCACACACACAGTAATCGGTGTTTAAAGGATTCCTGCGCTGAACATTTGTTTTGTTATATGTTGACAACGTGTGCAGAGTTGAGCAGATGTTTCTCGTGACGATGTCTAAACACGTGCGCAGGAGAAGCTCAAAGATTTTCATCAACCTGAACAGCTGGTCATGCGTGAACATGAAAACTTTACCAAGATCCAGAAGCGTGTATTGATTTTTCTTTCAGTATACGCCTCAAAGTAGAAATAAAATAAACGACTTGGCCGCCCTTCCCCAGGACGCAGCAGTGAATAACATTTAAAGACGACGGGAGGAGAAAACATGTTGGCAGTCACTTTGGTTTATCTGCTCTGAAGGTTTGCTTCATCAGACGTCACATTCTTACACACAATACAGTTAAAAACCTGCGTGTTGCTGATGCACGTTAATGTCATTGTGTTTAACGAGGCTGCAACGTCTACGGTCACATTAAGGTCCTCTACATGAAACCAGGCTCTTAGTGGGATAAATCTGATTTAAAACATTAGTTTTAAATCCAGTAAAGGTCGTAAAACAGTAGAATGTGAGTTACAGCGATGAGGTTCATGATGTCTTTAACTGGATAATAGCACGTTTAGGTCTAATAGGATCATAACGGTGAATTCGTCCTACGTACGTTTGCTCTCCGTTTAATGAAAGGGTTTGCCTCCAAAGTCCCCTGCAGGTCTCAGTAATTCCTCTCTCCTCCAGGGTCCATTACAAATCCATACATAAGACAAATTGTACAAACTAGGTGTCACTGTGGACACTAGGGAGCACAAGCCAGTGTATTTCTCGTGCTGGTCCCAATCCCAGCGTTGAGTCAGGAAGAGAGACCGGCGGTAAACACTTTTACTAAAACTAAGATGCGAGTTCATCCAGACGACGCCACTGGGTGGAGGATGACGACTCATGACGACCCCTGAGGAAGGAACAGCCAAAAGGAAAAGGTGATGTCACTTAACATCTTCTAGCATCTTTTAGGAGAGTTACTGATGAGTTGGCAACACAGAAAAGGGGCGGTCGGTCTCAGAAGTGTTTCAGAAAGATGTTTGGACTTGATTCTGATTGTAGTGAACGATCGTGACAGTAGGATGTTGGAGTGAGAAAATTCTGACCCAGTATTTGATGGACTGTGCCATCAGCGGTCCATCAGAGCTGGGAGAACATTTAGAGCGTTCCCGTTAACATGACTTCTCCGTTGACTGCTAATTGCTCTGTTCTTAGAAAGCCTCGGGCCAATGTAAGAGTAGGGCTCAATTTGATGCAATGTCACGAAACACATCAGGGATGGATACTCCTGACTTGTTTCAGCTTCAAGATCAATCAAATCCCTTCCTGCCACTCTGTTTTACTCTCATCCTTTCTGCCCGGCCGCTCTCTTTGCATTTCATCTGCTTCTCTGCTTTTTTCTCTGTCCTTTGACTACTTTTTATTATCTCTATAAATTTGGTCTCTCGGCTCGGCTCTCGTTTTATCGCTGTCTGTTGTATCCCGTCGTAAAAGGTTTTTGTCAGGTTTCAGAGGGAAAGCAAGTTAAATGTTTCTATTTTTAGGCTACATGCATTTTATACTTAAGATCCACTTTGAAGCTGGTTAAATGGAAGTTAATAATTTACCATTTGACAAAAGGTTAAAGGAGGGGGCTGTAATGTGGAATAATTACAATATATTTTTACAAGAATTTAAAGTATTGTGTCCCTCAGAAACTCGGGATGGTGAGATTTTTCTTATCGCCTGCCACCCATAAGTCAAATAGTGTTTTCTGTGTGTGTGTGTTTGTAATATCAGCAAAATATTCATGAATCACTGAACACATTTTAATAAAACTGTAAAACCAGGGTTGACATCTACAACTAATTAACTTCTGGAGGGAAGTCAAAGTGGCCGCCACAGCAAAGTAATCATAGCCAACATAAAAAGGACTGCAACCCAAACACTTCAAGATACTTAGGTTAAGTTTAAGATGGAGGAAGAGTCACCATGGAGACCCCTGCAGAGAGGTAGGAAGAAGTAGTCTGCATCCCATCGACTTTTGGAGTCGATGGCTGTAGCCATTAAAGAGAGTAATGTTGTGAAAGTAGCTGAGAGTCATTGAGAACGCACACACCATGGGATTATCTGTTAATGTCAAGGTTTGGTCAAAACGGACAACTTCATTTTTCAACGTCCATCCGTCCATCCATCCATCCATTCTGAAGTCGGGAATAAGTGACTCGAGCAGGGAGGTCCAGACACCTCTTCCAGCTCTTTTGGGAGGACCCCAAGGTGTTCCCAGGCCAACCTAGAGACGTAGTCTCTCCAGCGTGTTCTGGGTCTTCCCCGGGGTCTCCTCCCAGTCAGACATGCCTGAAGCACCTCCCTAGAGAGTTGCCATGGGAGCATCCTTACCCGATGCTGAACCATCTCAACTGGCTCCTCTAGATGTGGAGGAGCAGTGGTTCTACCCTGAGTCTCTCCCAGATAACTGAACTTCTCACTAGGGGTGCACAATATTGGATTTTTGGCTGATACAGATATTTTTTATATCGTTTCCTTTGTCAGAACATAGTCCTCTTATTTAGGCTTATTTGCTACAAAAATTGTGTAACAGCTGTAAGAGCTGGTGACATATATTCAGTAACAGCCATATGATATGCACAGCACTTTAACTTATATTAAATGAAAAGTGTTAAATGTTATTTATTAGCATTAGTCATCTGTGATGCTGTCTCACCTGTGGAGGTTTGTTCCAGGTTCCTATAGCTGCAGGGTGGGATCCTCTGCACTCCTGTGCATGAAGGACAGACTTTTTAACATCAAAGTTTTTGTCCATCCATTGTGCTGTAAGACTAATCATGCTAACGGGGCTAACACGACGTCCAAATGTCTGTGGTAAAACTCACCCAAGTGCTATCGGCTGTTATCTTCTCAATGATGTTGGAAATGACGGCTTGTAACTCGGGTAAGGCTACGTTGGAAAAATATCTCTGACTGGGGACGATGTGACGAGACTCAACGTAGTCCAAAACTCTTTGGAATCAACATCCTCAATGAAAAAAAAACCTTCCACGCTGCCGACATTTTGACTTCTTCCCCTCCGCCGTGATCAGATCAGGTAGGCGCACGTGACGTCATCACGTTGTGCTGGTGCTGCAGACGTCCTTGTCACTGGGTTGTCATACAAAAACAGCGTCTTTTATATCGATGAGTTATTTTGATGGATTGGCTGATGATATTTAACTTTAACACTAATATCTTTCGATACCGATACCATGCCGATAATATTGTGTATCCCTACTTCTCACCCGATCTCTAAGGGAGAGTCCGTGTACTCTGCAGAGGAAACTAATTTCTATCACCTGTATCCGTGATCTCATTCTTTCAGTCACTACCCAGAGCTCATGACCATAGGCGAGAGGAGGAACGTAGACCGTAAACAGAGAGCTTCTCCTTACAGCTCAGCTCCCTCTTCACCACAACGGACCGGTACAGAGTCCACAATACTGCAGGCGCTGCACCAGTCCGTCTGTCAGTCTCGTGCATTCTTCCCTCACTCGTGAACAAAACCCCGAGATACTTGAACTCCTCCACTTGAACCTCGACCCAAAGAGAACAAACCACCCTTCATTGTTCAACATGTTGTTTTTGTACAGTTCTATGAGACGATGATGTGACAAGGCAGTATAGAAATATCTTTAGTAGAAATATGTTAGTTTGAAACTAAAGGTGGCAGATAGACCATTCCTTTATTTTTGCTTCCTTCCAAATATAAATTTCCTCTATTTTTTCATGATATGACATTAAACCCTGTATCAGGTTTTAGATTTGAATAATTTTTAATGCTTACACCGTGTCTCTGTCAGTGAGTTGGATATCAGCGATGGCTCCACTCATCTTGATATGAAGTCCAGCTTTGACAACCGATTGACAGATTCCCTTTCAACCAATAAAATTCTGTTTCATGTCACTGTGACAGAGCTGTCAGTCAGGTGGAGTGAAAATCTCCACTCAGGCAGCTGTTGTATTAGAATTCAACAGGATTGAAAAATGCATCAACTCATGATGAAACGAACGCCAATCTGCACAGCGGGAGCCAGCTTCGATGTGTCACTGATGTTGGAATCAAAGAGCTGACGCTTGGCGCTCACCGTGGAGCTCAAGGCAAGATCTGCACCTCTGACCAGAATCAATGAGTCGCTGGTGATTGACGGGCTCCCGTCGTAAAAGTGTTTTCAGGCAACGTTTCAAAATTCGGGAGTGAATCAAGAAACGAGTGTAAAGGAGGAGGAAGTAAGGGTTGGAAAATATATAGTGTTAAATCAGAGTTTTCTCTTTCCATCTGCCAAAACAAATTGCACCACAGAGAAAGAGGCTTGTTGGAGAGGAAATCAACAAACCAAAGATCCACAGGTTTTTTTTTTTTTTTACATAAATAAAGCTTTCAGGAGTCGGACCTTTTCAGCCAAAGACCAAACGGCAGCTGTGTCTTTGTAAAATATATTCGGAAATCCTGTTAAATGTTTGCTCAGAGACATCTGGGCGACTTTCAGAGAACCGCTGATCGAGAGCACCTTTAAAAGCTCTCTAAAATGTCTGGTCTTTAAAAGGAAATGTAAAGAAATGACGACTCGTTTGCATTTAAATGACCTTTTTTTGTCTTCTCCATTTTTCTGTTCTTCCAGCTAAGCCCAAGAACTCGGCCAAAGTCGTGACAGTCCAGGCCAGCCGTAAGTCAGTGGTGGTGGCCCAGTGCGAGGCGGTGGACGGGAAACCAGCGGCCACCATCAAGTGGCTGGCGTCAGTGGGAGGAAATCATTCGACGACCACCATGAACGGGCCGGACGGCACAGTGACGGTTCGGAGCGAGTACCGGCTGGTCCCCACAGCGGCGGATAACGACAGGGAGGTCACCTGCATGGTGGAGCAGAGGACGCAGGAGCGGCCGTGGGCTCAGACGCTCAGACTTTCTGTGGAGTGTGAGTAAAACCCAAACACTCTGAAGATCACTCATGTGTCTGTTCACTTCTGTAGCAGTTTTATTGGAGAGTGCCAGATTCTACAGTACTGTAGAATGGCAGCACCTGTTATTATCCACCTGACTTAGGGTTTCCTAACTTTATTTATTTACATCTTAGTCTTCCATCAACTTTAATGTGACCCGAACCGCAACTTGTACCCTCACAAATTTATATCAAAACGACCGGCTTGGTGCCATCATGTATGCTCTTACCGTTTATTGGCGTTTCAAGTTACCATGGCAACGTGATTTGCAAACGAAGACGCCATTTTTCCCATGGACACTTGTTAAACTGTGGTTGTGAGGTCACATGACTTGGAGTGGAGAGCTCCCTGAAGTAACGTAGAAACTCGCTGTTGGATTTGTTTGAAACTCACTAAAAGTAATCATCAGATAAATGTCTAGAACGGATTCATGTGTGGAGCCATTTTGATTCAAGATGGCTGCCACAGCTGCCTCAGCAAACACAAACTTGACTAACTCAGTCATTCTTGGAGATATTGAGCTGAAATTTAATATGGTCCTAGCTGAGAGCAAGTTGTTATATGTTCCTGATACAGATCAAAAATCCAAGATGGACACCTTAGCTAAAAGGGGAAAAATACGATGACTCAGCCATTTTTAGAGCTATTCAGCTGAAATGTGGTGTACTGGCAGCTGAGAGCGAACCCCAACACATAAATCAAAATGTTTAAATTGGCAGCAGCCTGGCAGTCCCCGTCCAAGTTTCAACAGGAACGTTCTAGTTCCGCCTATATTCACAAGAAGACAAGTGCATCATGGGTAAATACATTCATAAACCAAAAACTTGTCAGTAATGCAGAAAGAAAACATAATGGTGTTAATGTGGTGAAGTCTTTTTATAATAATTTAAGTGTAAAACCATTGTTTTTTTACACGTCATTCAAAGGCAGGATGTAATGTCGTTTAGTTTCTGTTTGTCTGTAAACTTTCTCTTGCCCCGCCCATAACTTCTGATCCACTCGAGATAATTTAAACTTCCAACACGTATGCATCACCACCAGATGGAGTCTTGTTTTTACACTTTTCAACGATCCAGCTCTAAGGTCAAGGCCACAAATCAAGGTCATAGTTAAAACAAGGTCTTGTCCAGGCCATTGCTCCAGATTGCTGTGTGATAGTTTGTGGATGGTTGTACATTCAGTATGCTAGGTGAAGGATGCTATGCTATATTCAGTATGCTTTTGTTGCATTTCTAATGCAACAAAAAAAAGCAGAAATATAAAACTTCTTTCATTTGAAGAAAATATTATATTTTAAAGACGCCAGTTAAGCTGATAAGATTATTACGAAGAGCATTTAATAAACTGTGGAAAATCTTTCGGCTATAACTAAATTATTCATCTTTAGCTTTATATCATTAAACCAAGCAAACGAGACGTTTTGCTTCCTAACAGCATTAGGGACCTTATATTTGGTAAAGACACGAGGTATCAACGATAAGAATTGCCCCTAAATCCAACTTTGAACTGTTCAACTGATCCCTTTTCATGTAATTTGCAAACTAAGACACTTTTGTTCTCAAATAGCTTGCTATAATCACATAATTATCCTTCCATTATGGGGGTTTTGCTAATTTTATTTTGCTTTTTAATCCACTTTGGATTAACCGTTCAACAGCAGGACACGATTAAATAGAGCATCCTCAATCTTCTGTTTCTTTGTGAATTTTAATTTCTAAACGTGACGAATGGATCAACGCAGACGGGAACGCCACAGTTTGTCAGCAAACAAAACAAATGCTCGTGTCAACTCTGTTTTAAACCAAATATCCAAACTTTAAATACCTGCTAACAAGAAGTAACTTTTATAAAATTAATTTTTTTGTTCTTGGAGATTCATGTTTACTCCACTGTCATTTAATTAGTTGGATTTGAGGAGGATTTAAATGTAATACAGTTTTTAGTTTGATCTTAAAAAAGATTTCAGAACTGCTTCTTTACTTCCAAACGTTGAACAGTTTGTTTCTGGTTATCTTTTTGGATCTGAACTCGTATGGATGACGGTCAAACTGCATGTGAAGCTGCTGGTGAAGACAACCATGAAGATATAAAAATAACTGTACGCAAGCTGCAAAAAGACTCATCAAGCTGCCAGATGCTGTACAGCTCTGTAAGAAGAAGTTTTACCATAAATGCATGTCTTGTTTTGGATTTTGGTCCCGTATGAACATGTGGTGGGTAGAACCAGGAGCATTAGATGCAGTTTAATGTTAAATTTACTTTGATCCTTTTTTGTTTTATCTCCAAATATCTGTGGTTAAAAAAATAATAATTGAGAAATTACATTTCCTGCAAAAAAAGCAGTGTGAATGCTTTTTGCTGAAGAACTTGATGAAAAACTGCTGAAATGAGCTAAAAAGATGCTGAAATGTAGCTGAACTAGAAGGACAAGCCTAAGTTAGAAAAAAGCAGAAAGAACAGATATTTGCTGAATTATGTTTAAACAGAAATGAGCACAAAAATTAGGAAATTAGCTTAAAAAGCTGAAATTAACAACAGTTTAAAAAAAAAAAAGAAAAGTAGCTAAAACGGCCAAAAAAAAGGCTGAAATTACAAGGAAGTGCAGAGAGCACGTTTTTGCTGAATTAGTCTGAAAAAAGTTTAAATGAGTGCAAAAAAATGTGGAATTAGCTGAAAAAGATTAAATTGGCATAGAACAGCTAAACAGTAGATGAAATGGTAGAAAAAGCTGAAACTTGCAGAAATAAGCTGAAAGGAGCATAACAAGCTGCAATTAACAGAGAGAAGTTAGAAGAAACACAAAAATGTTGTAGTTATCAGAAAGAATCAAAGGAGCACAAAACCGATGAAAGTAGCTGAAGAAAAAGTTTAAATTTGCAGAAGAAAATGTGAAAGGAGCAGTAAAAGGTTGTAAACAGATTTTAAGAGCTGAAGGATGTAAAATGAGCTCATTAAATTTTCTATGAGGAAAAATGGCAGAAAAGACTAAATATTTCAAAAAGCTAAAGTTACATCAATACCAAAAGTCATAGCAGGGTTGTGCTGAAAGAGCTGAATGTTTTGATAAACAGCTTCAAAACTGTGGGACGAGAATCGTGCTAAAAACATACAAAAGAAAAATGGATGACAACAGAGTGAATGCTGCTTGAACATTCACACGATTAAAATGGATCACATTTTGCCCAAACACATAAAATCAATGATCATTTCCAAGACTCACTATTCAAACTTTCTTTTTTCTGCTATTGTGACGTGAGGTGAGATGAGTACAACAATGGTATTAATATAATAATATTTTACTCCATGTTTTTTCTGCACATTTGTACTTTGATGCATCTTATTTTACTGTTCAGGCTGTTTACAAGTTGCTTACATGTCCTGTATTCACTCACCGGGGTACGGAAATAAAGTCCACATTTCACGAGATGCATAAACATGTTGACTTTCTCTTCTGGGTCAGATTTAGCCTAAATTTGATTCAGAAGTGTGGAAATAAAATGATGCTGGGAGTCGAGTCGCTCAAGAGAGAAATGAGCAAAATGTCCTTGAGCTCAAACTGCTGCTCGTAATTTACAGAGTCACAAAACACACAGGGATTCTCTGCTGCGTTCTGGTGGTGCAAGGGATGTATGGTGCGAGAGACTGATGGTGCGAGGGACGTATGGTGCAAGGGACGGGCGGTGCGAGGGACGGGTGGTGTGAGGGGCGGATGGTGCCTGGAATGGGTGATGCAATGGAAGGGTGGTGCATGGGACATGTGGTGCATGGGACGTGTGGTGTGAGGGACGGGTGGGGCGAGGGACTGGTGGTGTGAGGGGCAGATGGTGCCTTGGACGGGTGATGCAATGGAAGGGTGGTGAGTGGGACGTGTGGTGTGTGGGATGTGTGGTGCGTGGGACATGTGTGAGGGACGGGTGGTGTGAGGGGCAGATGGTGCCTGGGATGGGTGATGTGATGGAAGGGTGGTGCGTGGAACGGGTGGTGCGTGGGACGTGTGGTGCCTGGGACTGGTGATGTGATGGAAGGGTGGTGCGTGGGACATGTGGTGCCTGGGACGGGTGATGTGATGGATAGGTGGTGTGTGGGATGTGTGGTGCGTGGGACATGTGTGAGGGATGGGTGGTGTGAGGGGCAGATGGTGCCTGGGACGGGTGATGTGATGGAAGGGTGGTGCGTGGGACGT